GATTGAGGCAAGAACTAAAAAGACTTCTGAATGATTTATTGCTACCTGAACGACGAATGAAGATCCCACTACTTGCAAAAAAAATTCGCTTGCCTGAAAGAACAATATTCAAGATTATAGACAAAGATTTTGACATGGTAAAGGAGTCGCGACAAAACGTGGGCGTTTCGCTGAGATCCTCCCGCAAATCAGTGCCATAGATTCAAAAAGGCTCTTCATCCCAAAAAAGGCAAACACCCGGTCTTCACCTTCAAAATTGAGGAAGATTATTTTTTGGTGGTGTAAGGGAGTTTTGCTTATTGAATTCTTGGCAAAAGCAAACACGACTGGTGGTGGTGTTTATGAAAACCCTTAAGTCAAAACTACCCAACAAAGGCTGCGGACAAGGCTCGCCATGCACATTGAATGGGTCCACAGAATTACCGCCTCCACCCTACAGCCCAACAAATATGCTTTTTTTTTGAGCTATTAAAGATACCTCAGAGGCCGAAAATTTACCTCAGATGAGCGAAGTAATGCCGTTTTCTTTTGGACAAATTCTTGACTAAATGTATTAGTGTAGGTTTCCGGTTTCCTTTACAGAAAATCTGCTTCTTGACCTTCCCAGTGTATCTCATTAATTCGATTCCATTTAAGATTCTAATAAAAGAACTGCAAACACGTAAAATTAATTTGACCAATTAAGGAAAGTGAACCGAAGATTCCGGTTTGTCTCGCTATTTAAGCTGAGCAACAGCACAAGTTGTTATCAGTCGTCCTCCAGCCGATAACAAAGATGTACCTCAAGATCGTAAGTAAGTCTCAATTTGTTGCACATGCTGTAAGTTACTTTCAGGTTTTGTTCGCCTGCGCTGCTATCGCAACGACTAACGCTGGATACTTGGGATCAGGTCTCCGGTATGCGGCTCCGGTCGGATTTGCTGCGCCAGCAATCGGTTACGCTGCACGCGTTGAGCATTTCGCACCAGCCGTACACACCCCATTGATTGCGCCAGCACCTCTCCTTCGTACCGGATACGTAGGCCATCATGGTCTTGGATATGGTATTGCGTCTGGCTCTTTTGGACTTGCTAGATCGCTGCCTCTGGGATACGGTGGAGCATACCGGGCGGGGTGGTAGATTCTCTTTGGAAGGAGAACAACTATGGAATGTAATGCATTCGTTAATACTTAATAAGTGTTTGTTAAATAAAGTTATTAACTTTCGGTAGGTACAATGTTAAAATCATTTCGTGAAAACCACGTGGTGGCATAAAGCAGCTAAGCTCACGTGGGGTGGTTACTTCATATGGTCACTTTGATACCGAGTAGGCAGTAGATATCTCTCGTCTAGACGTTCCAACCGCTCTTTCTGAGAACCCTCCTCCGAGTCTCCGTGCTGGTACCAAATTAATGCTTTCACATCGCCAATAGATCTGTCTCGTTCATCATTCTGCCTGTGTGAGCACTCTCCTCCGACACACCGTTTTCGAGATGTCCGCTCTTAAAGTTTTGACGTTACCTTCTTCCAAGACATCATAATCGCCCTTGTGAAGTACCCTCGTCAGACACTATGCTCTTAAGATATAGGGTTTTATAACCGATCGCTATAAGAGGTCGAAAAAAACTGTAGTTGATAGAAATCCTTTCGTTTAGACCTTTCGTTAGGGTACCATAGTTAAAACCAGCCCCCCCCCCTCCCCTCGCCCCGCCAATTCCCAATTTGACAATCGGTAGTTTATAGAAACAGGTCATTTCGTTGAGACCTCTAATTTGAGTGACTGATAAGTAAATACATTTTTGACCTCTTCCTTTCCTCCCCCCGTCACCCGCTAACCTCACAAATAAGCAGCGTATCGTAGGGAGTTCTATAAACCAATTCTCTTTGATGAGACTTTCATTAGAATACCATAAAATAAAAATTTGAACGCCGTCTGATACACCTCCAAGGTATAAGTTATCTGCAAAGTTCCAGGACTTGATCCCCCTAAAATTGTTTAAAACCACAGAGCGGACGGACAATCTAACGGACGGACGGACAAAACGCAAACCTACACGTTTCTTAATGTTTAAAAGATCCACGATTCAAAAATCACAGCCAATTTTTTAAAAAATACAATACCTAGCTATTGCGCGTCTCAGATAACGGAATTCTAAAAAATTGTGCTTTTATGAGCACTTAAAGGGTCTTCACCAGGTTAACATAACTTCTTCAGAGTGTTTGAAGGGATGTTTTGATCATTCAGAGATTTAAAAGGGTTTCCTTGCACCTTTTAAAGTGTTTAAAAACATTTAGGGGACCCTAAGAAGATTCTGCAGACATTTAAGGGCATACCCGTTGACTATCTTTTAAAAGAATTCAGGACTTCTCTATAGTATTGCACAGTTTTTAATAGGATTGATGGGTTTCACAGATTCTGAGAGGCCCTCGGATGCTGTTTGACACCCTTGGGGTTCGTTCAGACACGGCAGAATCACGTGATTCTATAATGAGGATCTAATTTACATGAAAATATTCCAAATGTGCAGACACAACCGCGCGGCACCCGGGTGGCAATCGCGCGATTACCGCCGTGTCTGAACGAAGCCTTAAATACAAATATAGGGCTAATAAAATCTCTTAAAGTCCCTTTGTGACAAGGACCTTGCACATTGAGCAAAAAAGGTTGTCAATTCAATCATGTGGCCAAAGACATAAAGGACCCTGACAACTACGTAGGATCTTTGGGTTTCCCTGTAGAACTATGGAAAACCTTAAGACTTTTTTTGAATACGTTTTGTATTAAATTTTACTAGAAATCGTATTTTAATATAAAATTTTTCAGTCAATGATGTCAGTGACGACAGCTGGAGTCATTATAGACATTTAGCAATGTGACAGGTGGGTCCGGAGAAGTGACAAGGGCGGCCGGTTAAGTGACAGGTGCGGCCGGTAAAGTATAGTCTGGTCTTAGTCATGGAAACTAAAATTTCCTGACATAAAGTAAGCATGAAAATGAAGGATTCAGGACGATTTTGGGTAAAGATCCTTAAATGCTACGAAAGACTGGAAAACTATGGAATGCAGTAGAAAATCCAGCTTTTCAGAACAAATGAGCCCTTGTTGTCTGTTGAACGCTCGTGCCACCCCTTGAAGACAAAAGACCTCTATAATGTTCACATTTGGAGCAGGGACCCGGACTCAAATGAAATATCGGTTCCGATTCTGTTTATATTTAAGCGAAAATATTTATAACGGTTCCGGTCCGGTTTCGGTTCTAAAACGAAATAACGGTTCGGTTCTGCGCATTTTTTTCGGTCCATTACGGTTATTTTCGGTTCTAGTTTTTCAGAAAGTATAGCATTCAAAAATTTCATTATAACAACGTGATTTGTTAATTAATAGGTGTGAAGAAAATGTCATGAATACCAAAACGTGACGTATCATCAGTGTAGCTAATTTATAACGACAAGGAAAATAAAAGAGGAAGAGGAAAATGTATATACACTTAATTTATTACCAAAAAACAGATTATTTTATTTTCTAAAACCTCGCCCCTTCTTTTTTATTTTTTTTAAGTAGTGGCTAAATTAGCGCCACCGCCACCCGTAATGCCTTCAATTTCGACACCTTATTAAAAATTTATAATCCACACCAATGGCAATCATAGAGTAATATTTTATCAATTTTCAGGACGTGGTTGCCGGCGCGTCCTTCAACTTCCAATAACCTGTTAGGAATGGTAAAAAACCGAAAAGAACCGAAAAAAGTAATATGGGTTCCGGTTCTCAATACGTTTCCATTTCTGAAGGAATAACGGTTTCGGTTCGGTTTTCGCGATCCAGAAAAAATACCGGTTTCGGTCCGGTTTTCGGTTCTTTCTCGGTCCGGTCCGGGTCCCTGATTTGGAGACTGCTTTTGATGGATCTTGAAGATCATTAAATCTTAAATGCTAATAAAACTCAGAAAACGGTAGAACACTTTGGAAAACTGTAATAAAACTCTAATACACTGCCTTTCTCTCTTTTCCTTTTATTATATTTAGTGCCCAAGGTAACCTTATCATCAGAAATTTGAATACTGGTGTTGTACTTGCTTCAAAGGTTTTCACCGGTAATTGTCATTACGACTGTAATACCTGGAGGTACAGTATACCTAACTAAGGTCCTGTTTTGGGATAGGCTCTTTAAAGGTTGCGACCTTTTGCTAGAGACACTGAACGATATATCGCCTTACTGGTCTTTGGAGACTAAACATATTTTAGACACTTTTTAAACACTTCTATGGGTGTTTAGGTGCTTTAAAAGCTATTAAATTCCCCTAGAATCTTGCAAAGGGTCTCAAAGAATCTCCAAAATTGAGATAATAAATGATCCTGAGAACTATTTTTGGGGCTGTAACGGCCTCGTACAGGCGTTTTAACTTTTAAAGACCCTAAAAGGTTTTTAAACACTCTCGAAGACTCTCGAAGTGCTCTTATATCGATAAAGGTTTCAGACCTTTTAAAAGCACTTAAAAACGCGATTGCTTACATTTCCCTCGGCTCAGGTAGCAATTCCGACATTTTGGAAATTGTAAAAGTAGTGTATGGCGGACAAACGGACAGATAAATAGTCGCAACATTTCCTTTTTTTAAGTGGTTAGCCGAGTTAGCGGCTGTGATTCTTGAACTACCATTTTCAAGATCACACCAATTTTTGTGAATTGTAAAAAAGCTCTTACTGTCTGTCTGTGCACGACAAATCTTTTTTAATTTTTCTTTACCTGTTTTGCAAGAAATTCTAAATGTGCCTCTATCATCGATGTTCAATAATTTGCTTCGACATGCATGGTGCATGTTTCCCGGTAGACCATTAATGCACCAGAGTGAATGAATTTGGGATGGTAATGAGCTCAGCAGCTGATTCATCCCACTACTCATCTTTGAAATGATTCTGAGCGTTGCGAAAAACAAGTGTGCTAGTAAGTGCAATTATTTTATTTAACAAGCATTCGTAACGAGTGCATTACATTCCCCAGCGATTCTCCTTTCGAAGAGTACCTACCACCCCGCCCGATATGCTCCAGCGTATCCCAATGGAAGCGATCTTGCAAACCCATAGGAGCCTGATGCTATACCGTATCCAAAACCGTGATTTAGGTATCCGGTGCGAAGAAGAGGTGCTGGTGCAATCAATGGGGCAGCGGCCACGGTGCGTATGGCAGGAGCGACGAGTGAGGTTCTTGCAATTGGAGCCGTAAACAACTCGGTTCGGTGCACGGACGATACTGCAGGCGCCAAATGCTCAACTCGAGCAATTGCCGGTGCAGCGTACCCGATTGCTGGTGCAGCAAATCCGATAGGTGCCGCATACCGAAGACCTGCTCCCAAATATCCAGCGTTGGCCGTTGCAATTGCAGCGCAGGTGAACAAAACCTGAAAGTAACTTACAGCATCTGCTACAACTTCAGACTTACTTACTATCTTGAAGTACATCTTGGTGACTGGTTGGAAGACGACTGATAACAAATTGCGCTGTTTCCGAGTTTAAATAGCGAGACAAACCGGAATCTTTGTTTCACTTTCCTTAATTGGTCAAATTAGTGTTATTTGATTGTTACGTATTAATTAGTGAGTCATACTAAGAAGGTCAAAATATTGATCTGAGGTAGATTTTTTTAGAATTTTCTGTCAAGGGGACCGGATAAATTTTCAGAAAGGTTTACTTCTCTACGTAACTATCATCTAGGCCAGCATTTCTCTAGGTGTTTCATTCTTCAAAAAAATCGTTTGCTTGCACTTAAAAAAGACACTACTGCGCTCATGTAAAGCAAATTTGCGACCTCTGCGGTATGTATTTAAGTGTTTCATTCCAAGACTCCCAAAAAATGATGGCCATCCATTTTCCAGGCGAAGCGAAGGCTGGGGACTCTTAAAAGTCTCCCAGGTTCTGAAATTTCTATTTTTTAAGTCCTTAAGGTTTTTGTGTTGCGTAAGGCTTCTAGTGCACATATCACTCTCAAAGTCCTCAAAAAATGTTGGTCTCAACAAGTGTTTAAAGTGGGGAGAGAATAAGAAATCAAGAAACAAAGAGTGCAACAAAGAGCGAGAAGTGTTACTGGAATTGCAATAAATGAAAGGTTGGCCAATTTTAAACGGAAATATGGATAGACGGTTAATTCACATACATGGGAGGGAGAGGGGAACATGGGCCGATGATAAAATTTGGTCTAAGAGGGGAGACAAGGCGATCAAGAAATGAAAACATGCAAAGACCAAGGGAAACACAGTTATGGACAAGAGACACAGTGGAGCTGTATAGAGGGATACTAGAGGAACAAGGAGCCGAAATAGGAGAGAGTACTGAGGAGGAGTGGAATAATATAGAGGAAAATATTAAAAGTTTCTCTGAAAAATGTAAGGAAGGAGTCATAGAAAGGAAATGGAAGAGAAAAAGAAGATTATGGTGATCGAGTGCATGTACAGATTGGTGGAAAATGAATTGGAAATACAGGGCGTTCTTCATGGACTTATAGGCAGCGTTTAACGGAGTGGAAAGGGAAAAAGTGTGGAAGACGATGAAAGATGGGCAGGATGAAGGAGCTATTTGGAGAAATAAGATTGAAGGGAAAGGGTTTGATGTGTTCTGGACATATAAAGAACTAAGAAAGGAATGCTCACTTAGCCGAATTTTATTTCATCTCTACAAAAGACATGAAAAAAGTATAAAGATAGGGCCAAGGTGGAGGAATGGTAGTGCGAAGAAGAAGGATATGGTCCATGGCATACGCGGACAACGCAGTGATCATGGCAACAGAGGTAGAAGAAATGAAGGAAGAATGGACAGGTATTTTGGGAAGGAATGGAATTATATGTTGAAAAGTCGAACATGATGAGATTTGAGAAGGGGGGGGGGGGAGGTGGAAGAACAAGGGAGATAGAACGGCAATTGAGGGAGGAGAGAATAGAAGAGATCGGGGAAATTAAATATTTAGGGTACCAAATGCAAACCAATAATGGGCAAAATGCGCAAATAAAAAGAAGGACGAGAGGGTGGCAATGGGACAGGTGTGGAGAATATGAGCAGAGCTGGGTCGAATGTTCTAAAAAACCGCTCGAGCGCCGAGCTGCTTCGAAAAGCGCATCCGCTGGTGAGTTCTAAGTACTTCTAAAAGTCCTCGCTAGCGCTCGGGAAAAGTACTCGTGAGCGGAAGAAACGCTCAAGAGCGGAAAAAACGCTCAGCAGCGGAAAAAGCTCTCGCGAGCGGAAAAACAACTTGTGAGCGAAATAAAACGCTCATGAGCGGAAAAACCGCTCTGGTGCAGAAAAAAGCGCCGAGCACTTTACGTAAACGCTCTAGTATCGAGCACCAAGCGGCCGCTCCGAAAAATGCTCGCTCGTAGGCGTTTTTTCCGCTTGGAGCGCTTTTTCACGCGGAACGCTACCAAGCATTACCCAGCTCTGAATATGAGAGAGCGTTTTCAAGAACAAGAAATGCCTGTTCGATGTACGTTTCGGAGATATGGGGTTGAAAGGAATGGGATGAACTAGAGGCAACACAAGAAGTACTATAAATGGGTATGAGGGCGAAACGGAAGCATGCCAAATTGTATACTAGAGGCTGAAACAAAAATTGAGAGGATAAGTGTCTCGTCGGAGCGCAGGAGTGAGAAAGAAAGCGAACTGGTAAAAGAATTGTCGACAACGAGTATTAACGTAAATGGAATTTGGGAAAAACAAAGAGCAAAATATTATGAAACAAAATACGGACGGGCTAAGGTCGAAAAGAGGATATGAGTAGGAGATGGACAATGAGCAACAAGTACAGCAACAGAGGATGAAGATAGAGAGCCCACGAAAAAGGAGTATAGTTACAAAGATCTAATAGGAGAGTGACTATCAAAATATTTATGGGAGGGAAAATATTAAAATAATGGGGAGGTTCTGTTGTATAAATGAGGAGAGAGGGAAAGAGAAATGGAGACAAGAAGAAGAAAGGAAATATAGAATACGTGGAGAGGAAGAAGGAAACATAGAACACTTGCTGTGGAATTGCAAAGAAGTGGAAAGGACAGGGAGAAGTAGTAGTGAGGTGTTGGAAGAGGGGGGAAGAAGCGAGAAGTGGGAACATTTTAATTATAATTATTTATATTATATATTTGGCCAACGATAGGGTGCCACAAGGTTTTGAGGTATTATTACGGTTCTCAAGAGTTTTAGGGCTGTTAAAGTTCTCAAATTTCTATATTTGTTAAACAACTTCAAGCTTTTTGGTTAATTTTATGGTAATTTTAAAACTTTTGACGCTTTAATGTTCTAGACGTTCCAGCTTGATGGAGCACTTGAGATAGCCTTAAACTTTCTATAGTTTTGTGCTGATTTAAGGCTCCTAGAGATTTTTAAACTTGCAACCTGCACTCTCAAAATGACCTTAAAGACTGTAAAACTAAAGTAAACTAGAAGGCCCTCTCAAAGATTATTTCCAGATCCGTGGAGAATAGTGGCAACACTTACAAACTCATAAATTAACCTAAAGTGTCACGAAACGTATAAAAGGTTCAGCTCTCAGAGACTCTGACACTAAAAACCTTGAAACCATGAACGGAAGAGTCGGGGTTGCCTTGGGAAATCCTTTTAGATGCTGAAGGAGATTCCTAAGAGACCTTAAGGAGTTAAAGGCTTCTAGAAGATCTTAACAATCAAAAGGCCCCTTAAGGGTCTTGAAGACATCTTACAAAATTTGTCCACTCCACAAAATACTGGAGACTTACCTTTTTTTATTATAATGTCTACATCTTTTATTGCAGTAGCCACTCTAATAACAGGTGACTGAGCCTCGCTGTGATTTCCTGAAGGTTGGTCATGAATTCAAAACTTTAAGTTGGTGTTGTAAGCGTGCAATATTGTAAAGGAGCACCATGGGTCCACTTTTCCAGATGTTATTTTCTGTCGAAAAGATACCGATGTTATATTACATTTAGCCATGGTATGGAAGAAGAAAAACGTTATCATAAGTCCATCGTAGGTTAAGGGTGCCAAGTATAAGATATATCAAGATATAAACAGCAAAGGTTCTTTGCTATACTGCGAAATCTTAAAACATTCCTGTGGTTTCGGCCTTCCCATTGTACATCACTAATTGATTACCATTTAAGATACTAATAACGAAACTGCAATCAAGTCAACATTAATTTGACCAATTAAGCAGAAAAGTGAAACGAAAATTAGTCAATTCCGGTTTCTCTCGCTATTTAAGCTAAGCAATAGCACAATTTGTTATCAGTTGTCTTCCTGCCAGTCACCAAGATGTACCTCAGGATTGTAAGTAAGTCTGGAGTTGTTGCAGATATTCTAAGTTACTTTCAGGTTTTGTTCACCTGCGCTGCTATTGCAACGGCCAACGCTGGATACTTGGGTGGAGGTCTCCGGTACGCGGCACCGATCGGATATGCTGCACCGGCTATTGCTCGAGTCGAACATTTGGCACCCGCAGTTTCATCTGTGCATAGAACCGAGTTGTATACTGCTCCAATTGCAAGAACCTCTCTCGTTGCTCCTGCTATACACACCGTGGCCGCTTCCCCATTGATTGCACCAGCACCTCTTCTTCGAACCGGATACCTAAATCACGGTTTTGGATACGGTATAGCATCTGGCTCCTATGGGTTTGCAAGATCGCTTCCATTGGGATACGCTGGAGCATACCGAGCGGGGTGGTAGACACTCTTCGCAAGGAGAATAACTATGGAATGTAATGCATTCGTTAACGAGTGCTTGTTAAATAAAGTAATTACACTTACTAGCACGTTTTTTTCTCAAATCTCAGAAGCCATCAAAGCCTCGTGGTGGGATAGATCAGCTAAGATCATTGCCATCCCACGTTCGTTACAAAGGAGATGACCACTTCGGTACAGAGTCAGGTCCACCGGGATGGGTCCATATCAGAAATCCTTAACGTTAATATACACTGTAAGAAACTAGAGTACATCACTGAAAGATCCTTCATTCTTAGAAGCAAAACCAGTAGAGATGAATTTTCAAGAAATTTCAGCCACCTCGCGCAAGAAGAAGGAAGTAATATCTTGGGTATTTATGGCACGAACAGACAGGCAGAAAGAGAAGTTTTCTGCAGTATCGCAAAGTGTCAATGTGTGATCTTAAATTTCAAGTTGTAGGAAACTAAACCTTCCGGGAATTTTTGAGGGTCGAAGAGGATTTCGGGGCACATGGTTCCATTCCATAGAATTCGCAAAATTAATATCTCAGAGTGATTTTCTTATAAATGAAGTTTCAATTTGTAGTTGCGGGATTTAAAAGATCTCTGACCTTTTTTCCAATTTAAGAGCATGTTTAAAAACCTTTCTGTGCCTCTAAAAGCCTTATCTCCTAACGTTTGCAAAAGCTTTCAAGGGGGTCAACCGATTACTACTACAGTACTGCCTTTATTAGCATTGCAAAGGTATTTAAAAGACTTCAAGTACGTTCAAGATATCTGAATGGCCTTTGAGGGTTGTGGTAGTATTTTCTTGATATTCTACAACCGGTAAGTGCCTTCATTAGTGATGATAGATTTTAAACGCTTTTAAATGCACTTAAAAGCTTTTAGGACTCTTAAGGCCCCTTGAGCTCTTAATATCTTTTAAGTGTATACAGCCCTATTTTAGTAGCCCGTTTGTTAGAAGTTTCTAAACTTGCCGTTGCAATAGAAACTTGACATTTGTTTCACAGCCATAATTGACTATTACGAATTGAAATAAAACGATGTCAAGATGGAGTCGCTTCCGTAAGTATCGGAAATTGGCGCCATCTTAGATTAAAAAAAATCATACCATTAGTGATGTGGATTGTAAAATAACGATTTGCAAGTTACATAAAAAACGGTTATATTACGCGTAACTTACAAGAAGCCGGTTTTTTATGTAATTTATGTCTTTCATGAAACTTACGTAACTTACGTTTTTAATTTAAAAAACCGTAATTTTTGTAAGTTACATTTAACTATTTGATACATATTGATCGGTACTACCACAGACCATCAACGGTACTATAACGATTCACCGTTGAATTTAGTTTGGTTTAATGAAGATGAGACTTTTGATTTTTGGTAAAAAAAGGAAGGTTATACACTGCCTTTTTTTGAGCCCCGAAAAAAAATTGTCTCGGATCGACCCGGAAAAGAAATTTTCTTATAGAATGTGGCCTGTAGAATCATAATTTCAAACAGTTCCAAGATTGGGCTACTAGTTCAAAAGTTACCGCCCTTTGAATTTTTTTTCGAAAATGGTTTCTAGTCTATAACTTTTGATTGAGAAGTCTGATCGAAAAAGTACGAATTGATTTGGATTCTACGCACCCAAATTAATAAGAAAAAGTGTTTCCCCGAGAAATTTTGGTGTAGTCGATTTTTGGTAAAAAAGGAAGGTTATACACTGCCTTTTTTTGAGGCCCCAAAAAAAATTGTCTCAGATCGACCCGGAAAAAAAATTTTCTTATAGAATGTGGCCTGTAGAATCCATAATTTCAAACAGTTCCAAGATTGGGCTACTAGTTCAAAAGTTACAGCCCTTTCAATTTTTTTTCAAAATTGGTTTCTAGTCTATAACTTTTGATTGAGAAGTCTGATCGAAAAAGTACGAATTGTTTTGGATTCTACCCACCAAAATTAATAAGAAAAAGTGTTTTCCCGAGAAATTTTGGTGCAGTCGATTTTTGGTAAAAAAGGAAGGTTATACACTGCCCTTTTTTGAGCCCCGAAAAAAAAATTGTCTCAGATCGACCCGGAAAAAAAATTTTCTTATAGAATGTGGCCTGTAGAAACCACAATTTCAAACAGTTCCAAGATTGGGCTACTAGTTCAAAAGTTACAGCCCTTTGAATTTTCTTTCGAAATTGGTTTCTATAGTAATGTGGATTGTAAAATAAAGATTTGTAAGTTACATAAAAAACGGTTATATTACGCGTAACTTACAAGAGGTCGGTGTTTTTTATGTAATTTATGTCTTTTATGAAATTTACGTAACTTACGTTTTTTATTTAAAAAACCGTAATTTTTGTAAATTACATAAGTGTAATACCTATTTGATACATTTTGATCGGTACTACCACAGACCATCAACGGTACTACCAACGTAAACGATTCACCGTTGAATTTAGTTTGGTTTAATAAAGATGATACAGCCTCTAATTCGCGATCTGGAACTTCTTCCTCCAAACGACGCGTGATGGCGAAATACCTACTGCTTGGGTATTTTATTTAATACACCAAAATATATAATTTAACAAGTGTTTTTATTTTCAAACACTCACAAAATTCAAAAAGGTTTGTAGAATATTAAAAAAAACATAAAAAACATAAATGACAGGTAATTTTACAAAAATATTTGTAAATTACATAAAAAACATAAATTACTGGTAATTTTACTGTAAAATTACGGTTTTTTTAAAAAAAATGGTTAAGTTACATAAATTACATAAAATACATAAAAAACATAAACAATTCGTAATTTTACACGTAATATTACGCACTTTAAAAAAACGTGTAATTTAACATCACTACATACCATGTTCTATTCTTTTGCTTCTGGTTTTTGTAGGTCCATAGGTGCCCCTAAAATCTCGTAGTAACTATTAAGGGGTATTTAATATCCAAATTTTGAAGGCCCCTTAAGAGTATAATAATCCTTTTAAGACACCGTAACTATTGTCCACAGCTTGTAAGGGCTTCTAAAAGAATTTAAGAACCTAAAAGGTTTTCAGAAGATTTTTAGTTTGTAAAGAGACCTAATAATGTCCAAATGCTTCCAAAAGTTTTCAAAAATCTATAAAAATCCCTTTACCTTTTAAGTTTAGAGGTTTTTAGGAGCATTCATAGTTCCTTAGTACCCTTTAACGGTGTTATTGTCTTTAAGGCCCTAAATGCTAAATATCTTTTAATGGTAGGTATTTAAAAGACTCGTCTTAAAGAGATTAGCTTTCCGAGTTTTGAAAAGCATTTAAACTTTTCAAGAATAACAAGCCAGTCTCCAAAGGGTCTTAAGGACCCTCAACAGAGTTTAAGACCGTGAATATTTGTTTGGACACGCGCAGTTTATTTAACCGAAATAGCTTTTGTTTTTACATCACCAATGGCTATATTTCTTGCAGACGTCTCAATCGCCCTTTGTGAGTACCCTCTTCCGACATTTCGTTCTTGAGGTATTAGGGAATACACCCGATCACGATAAGAGGTCGAGGAGAAGGGCTACGGTTGGTAGAAATTAATTCCTTTCGTTGAGACCTTTCATTAGAGTACCAGGAAGGATAAAAATAGTTCCACTCCCCTCCCCCTCCTCTCCCCGTCCACCCCGAACTTTGATAAGAGGACAGAAAGAAGGGCAGTAGTTGTTAGGAAATGGTTCCTTTCGTTGACACTTCTAATTAGACTACAATGTGAGATAAAATTATTTTTAACACCCCCCCCCCCCTCAGGCCCCATCTCTCTCTCTACTGCAAAAAATTCCAGGACTCTAGGACCATTCCCCTAGAAGTAGTTCTAAACGACAGAAGTGGGTCCGGACGGACGGATGGATAAAATGCAAACAATACCACATTTTTTTTAATTCTTAAAAAATGCGCTAAAAATATTGCAAGGCTGCTAAGTCATAGAAGATCGATCTCATTTCAGGTATTTTAAATGGGCCTAGTAGATTGTAAGGTTTTAAGGTAACAACCACCTCAAAATGCTACAAAGGGACTCCAAAATTGTTTCAGTTGGTTTTAGGTTCCTGAACCTTCTCCACTCTCCGAGCTTTTAAAAGCTTAGAGCCCTTCCGATTTTTTTAAAGGTTTTATGAGTGCCTGAGGATCTCTAATAACTGGAGAAGTTGAAAAGAAAGACAAAACCCCCTAATTCTTCAGCCTTTACAGGTAGTTACTACGTTAGAGGTTTTTCTTGGTTTACAAAGGGTTAAAAATATAAGCAGAGCCATCTAACTTTCAAGTGGAAACTACAGACGTTTCACAGCACATTCGCATCAGTCGGCGTGGACTCCTACGTGGGTTCTTTTTATGTATCGAGACGTGTGACACAATCCAAATGGAAACTGGAAAAACTTTTATGCGTAAGAAAAGACAAGAACAAACAAAATAATATTACGCACATAAAAAAGAGAGAGACACAAGCCTTTTTTGGACTTTTGTCGCGTCGTAATCGACACAAAAACACACTAGGCAAATGAAGTTTAACAAATTAGTAAAAACAATTACAAGTGGAAAGATAAGTGTTTGAGAGCTTTCGTAATTCAAGGTTTTAAGGACCTCCAAAAACCTGCAACAGTTTTATTTCCGCAAGTAGGAACTCATTATTTTTTGTTAACGGTCACTGTAGTTAATTGTTTGAGATTCGCTGACATACCTAAACTATTACTGTCATTGCGTTCATTTTCTCTGGGTGGATTCCTTTACGCAAGTCTAACGGACGTATTATATTTCGTTTCCACTGCTCACGTCTACATTTTCTCACGATCTGGAGGATATAGGTTGGATTTTTCATTGATACGTAAGTGGGAGAGCCATTCGCTTATCTCGTGCATCACTTTGGTTGTCTACCGTTGAAGTTGAACAGATCAATTGTTAATAGTTGCCGTAATTTCATTGTTTTCTGAGTAACCCTCTTGTTAGTTTGAGTTACATGTTCTCTTCCAGAGTTTTAAGTTTGAGTAGTGTCCTCAAAAAACCGTTCAAACGCTTCCAAAATAGTATCGAAATATTGCAAAACATAAAAATACCCTTTGCAAGTTCTAAAATCGTCTACGCTTCACAGATCACTTGCATTTTTAAAATTCTTTTTGTTCTTGTAGACCATGTGCAAGGTGTACTGATTTTCCAGTATTAAGGTCTACGGTTTCATTACAGTATGTAAACCAGCTCACAAAGAGTCAGGTTTCGTAAAGGAAATGGGAATCAGTAAATTCTAGATTTCAGAAGGCGAGAAGAGTTTTATTCTCAACGCTTAAAAAACATGTCCGGTTGCAACACCACGTGTGACAGGGATACTTAAACCTGCATGTCCGACGTATCCTCGGGCAATTGGCAAAGGCTCGACCAAGTCCAGCTTGGTACGGAGAAGATGGGCGGAATCGATCGCTATCGAGGGAACGAGACGTTCCACCTTTTCAACGGCGGGCACAATTTTCTCGAGGCGAGCGAGGGCGATGGTCGAGTCAGGTACAGAGAAACTGACGGCGGGCGTCTCCGTGAGTCGTAGGCGCGGCGCGATCACGTCGGTTCGGAACGAGGACGAGTAGGATCCGGGCACAAACTCGGTCTTGGTGATGGCCGGAGAGACGAGGCGAAGGACCGAAGACGGTTCCTCAACAGAAAATTTGAGGGTGGATAGAGACGGTTCTAGGATTCCTGCACTGGCGAAGGCTGCGAGGGCGCAAACGACGAAGATCTGCAAGGATTTGGGATACGATAACGATTTCTGACTGCACAGAGGCTTACCTGGGGAAACATTGTGATGGCACTTCAGGTGACTGATGCTGGACCATTGCCAAGATCGGCATTTATAGTTCATGCGGTGTGGTGCAGATTTGATTTTGATTGGGTCGTTACGCTTAATGATAATTGGGCTGTCGTTAACTTCTAATTATCAGATTCAAACTAAATTAGTAGTATTTGATGAAGTTGACCGATCGCATTAAAATTAAGAAAATCCTAACCCTGATATTTTAGGTGAGGAGTTACCCAGGAACTATTTAATTTAAAGGTTCTCAAAAATGCCCTGTTGAATAAAGAGCACAACTCTAGCAGTTCTAGTAAGACAAGTATCCTAGGAAAAATTAAAAAAGTCCGCTAATTTGAGAGCTCAAAAAAAAACCATCAAAAACAGGATCAAAAATGATCACGAAGGTTGTGTAACTGAAAAAAAATCAAAGGACGGAAATATCGACATGGAGTCGAAAAACTTGGGAGTACTGAGGAATTTTAACTTAAGGAATTAAACAAATAACAGGACTAAAAAATAGATATCTGTGGAAAGGCAAACGAGCAATTCGGGAAATCGGTAGAGCCTAACAAAATCAATGAACTCGGCATTATAAAGAAAATTAATGAAATCATAACGCCATGGATTTGAAGAAAGTGACTGGGGCTTCTTTGAGAAGCGCTACGGATCCGAATAAATCTGCAGATCTCAAAGAATTCTAGAAACTGTAGAGACTTGGGGCATCTCGAGAAATTTAAGGGACGTAAAGAACGCGACTAATCTAAGTCATACACCAAAAAACTCAAGGAGAACCAGGAACCTGAAAGCACACAACGAAAATGAAGGACACAAATTCAATCAAGTGGCCAGGAAAATTTTGCTTGAAATACCGGAAAAAGAAGTACAACAGTCGATGACCCCTTTCCTAAAGTGCAAGAGATCATCGGGAACCAGGAAAAGAACTTGAGGTAGTCGTGAATAAATTACGAAATAAAAACGCCGGGACGGATGGTATTCTAGTAATTAAATTGGCAGTTGGAGGGAAAATTTTGAAAATGTTTAATGGTCTGCTATCCATATGTAAGTTCCCACAGATCTGGAAGAACACCATCTTGGTCCTCATACCGAAAGATGATCGAAAAGTGAGACCAAGGAAGTTCAATTCTACCTGCCTGCTGGAAGTGCTGGAAGCTGTAGGAAAATTGTAAGACAACTTGATCAAGAGCAAGAATTTTGAAGCATTTAAAGGAAAAAGGGAACCAATCGAAAAATCAGATCGGTTTTAGGGAGGCGAGATCCACTTTGGATCGTGGGAACAGAAGGACCTCTGCCTACTGACGACACTCGATGGGCAACACGCACGCAGCTCGGAAAAATGGGATCGAATCGTAGACGCTATGGTAGCCTGGGATCCCCCAATTACCTGGAACAAAAATGGTAAAACGTTTCCTTCACACGGATTTCAACCAACAGGACAGAAGGAAGAACTGAAGATTGCGTATGGGGTGGAGTTTCGCAGGGTCCGGTGCTTAACCCCACCCTGTAGAACATCATGTATAATCCTTTTGCCTTTTTCCCACACCTAGAGGCAGCTTGGATAAGATCTGGAAAAGGCTTTAAAAACTGAAAGGAACAAAAAGTGATACGCGAAGGCTAATCAGGAACACGAGAAGCGGAGGGGGGAGGATTTCCATGGCTGGCAGGGTTCTGCTGCTGGAATCCGCAGGGTGCCATTGATTGTGGCCGAGTGTGAGGACCAGTGGACTTTGGAGAGGACCGTCCTCATTAGGTCCTGGGATGGCGCGTCTCTGTAAGTTTAGAGGCACGTGCCTAGGGTAACCCAGGCTGTATCATACGGGTACCCGGATGATGACACGGGCGCTATCTTTCAGCGTCTCCACCGGCAAAATCCTGGTATCAGCACAAGCCTATGGAAGACGTTCTCCCGCAGAGAGATAGATGATAATTCCTCCTACTATTTGGTGTGATGTGTGCTCCGGCTGCGCTAGATAAGGGAGATCTCCGGCTGCGTCAGGTAAGGGTAAGGGAGAGAGCTCCACCAGAGTAGCGGGACTCAGTGCCGTTGCGACGAAGGGGGGCTCAATCCCTCATTAACCAACTCTAAGAGGCGTCGGAATTACTAACGGCTCCCCCAGAGATCGAGAAAGATGTCGATAGAATGCTTCAAATCGGGGAGCAGCCCCTACCCTCGTCACAACGCGGAGGCAGGAGATTACTTATCTGACATTGGGATCCTTTTCAATACCTCACATGATCACATGCAGGTTTCGGAATCCCCGATGAACCACCTGATCTATCGAAAAGCAGAACAGGTGGAAGAGGCGGCCGCATTAATAAGCGAAGATCTTAAGGTCGCTCCGTGCAGGTATAAGAACCATATTTGAAGATCTAAACGAAGATCGTGGAAGACCAGCTGTGGTAACATGGAGACCCTTCCTGAAGAAGAAAACGGTGGAAAAACTGGTAGATACATACATAAGTAATGGAACAGCCACGTGTACAGGCTAGAGGAAGGAAAGTCTGCCGGGGTGTGGCCCTGGGAGCGTTTCTGATGTCGAGGATGCGTGGTTTGATCCATCGCTCGGACGCCGAGTCATCATATCCTCAATCGGAACGACGGAGACGATTTCTTCGGTCACTAGAGGATGTCCAGTGTGGGTTGTTGTCTCCACTGCAGTGGTGCCTGGTGCAAGACGGGCTCCTCCACACATTGAACGAGAACGGGGTGTATACACAGGGACACACGGACGATCTCGCGAGCGGTCGTCATACCTGGAAAGTTTCCCAACACCATGGAAGGGCTCGTACAGGGGACCCATGAATAAGTAAATCGCTGATGCTGTGCCATGGCCTTTCCGTTAACCCGGAAAAGACCGATGTTATTCCATTTACGAATAAGAGACCGGACCTTGATGGACTCACTCCTCGAGGACTTCAAATATTTGGAAGTAATCATAGATTCTCGCCTGACCTGGAACGGGCACATTGAGCGAATAAGAAAATAGACCGCTCCATGTCTATGGGGATGTAGAGTGGCTTTTGGTTGTACCTGATGGGGCTTGAACCCTCCACTGGTATATTGGCTTTACGTGGTAGTGGCAAGGCCAGTACGGTGCACTTGTATGGTGGCCTGACATGAGCAGGGCAGCCTAGAGGAAGCAGATAGCGAAAGTTCAGAGATTCGCCTGCAGGGGGTCGCTAGAGCTACGAAAACCAACTTTGGCCACGGGGGCACTTCTGAGACTAGAGTTTTTACACTTAGCTGTGTAGGCAGAGACTCGAAAGGCTCCCATACGGCTAAACGATTGGGACGGGAGGAAGGATCGAGGCAGCCTTGGTACGGGTGCATCTGGGAGGAAACCTTCAGATCCGAAAGAGTGGAAAAATGAGAACAGTTTTTTATAAACAAAACCAAGGTCCCAAGAGACACACATCTTTACTTTGTTCTTTTTGACTTCTTTTTCTGTCCGTCTGTTTGCGCGTTAGGCAATTACTCCAGTACTCCTACCATTTTCAAAATGTTTACTATGTGCATTCGGTCTGCGTTCTAAGACAAAGAAAAATCTAATTGAATTGTTATCTAGAAACTCGAAATCTGTATTTATGTACGGATTTTGGTAGGAAAACGTCAACAACTTATGCAATGAAGAGACTAGATAGTAATAATTACGTGTATATCTTGATTAGAAAAAGTAATTGGTTGCTTTGTTTCAGGTTAGTTGTCTCTCGGCTTACAGTATCATGGTAAGTGGAAAAAGGATTTCAATTACCGAAAATCACTACCTCAACTCGTCGGTGTGTTTGCAAAAGCTCTTAGCGATATTCCCTCAAAATCAATATAGAGAGCTGTTTTGCCAGATAGTCACTAATTTTAATTAAACCGTCGCCGTAATCCTAATTCAATAGCATAAGAAATTGTTTAAATTGTTTAATTGCAAAGACTGGGCTCGATTAACGCCGCTCTTAGCAAATACTCTCCAAATCTGAGACGGTTCTTCTTCTCCCGCTCCACCTCCTCCAGGGAATTAGTGGACACTGCATTAACGCCATTACCATCATCCTCCAGATTCGGTCGGCGTGGCGATCAATTAAAACCGCTTTGCAGCTTATATAAAAGATTAGGTTAAAGGGCGAAACATGCATTCCGTTGTGTTTACGGGGCCCGTAATTTAGATAATCGAAATGAAAATTGGCGTAAAAACACTTAACGTCCGTCGAAGAGGAGACAAAAAAGGGGGTTTCGTGTCGTACAAACGACGTGTAGGGTTTTTGTGCGACGACGACGATGCGGACTCGCGTTTTTCGCCGCCCAAAAATGAAACAATAAAGACGAAACGCGTAATGGAAACCGTGTATTTTGCGGTGTTCTTTTCGTGATTTGTCCCGAATTTCTGACAAGAGTTTTTACCGACGTCGGAAATGCGAGGGACGTCGAAATTGTTGATAATTGAATTGGGGTCGTCTGTGTATTTCCGTTTTTCTTTACTAAGATATTTGGAAGGCAATTTCGGTGTGGTAAAACGACCGTTAAGCATTTACACAAAATAAAACAAGTTATCGAGAAGCAGGGCATAAGGACGTTATGACAGAATTATCCGAGTAGCATTGAGCACATTGAAATACAAATTCCATTAATCGAGTAATTATGGGATTAAATTGCTACTGCCAAGTAAGGAGGAGTAGAGGTTCACCACTAAAAAGGTCACAAAGACCAGAGAACACTAGACACACCCCATTACTCGTTACTGAAGATGCCTTTAAAACAAAATTTAATTTCATTCTTTTCAGGAACAAATTTTATATTACACACTCGGTTTACCCAAATTACACAAAACCCTAAATTTGCTGGGTTTTTGAACACACGAGAAAAAGGACCTAAAGCCTAAAGTTAAACCCCATCTTTTTCCAATACTAAGTACCTAAATTACATCAAACCGGAATAAATTCGATCTTAATCAAAATGCACAGACGGAAATAAATGAAAACAATATCACCTTTTAAACAAATGTATAATCTTGACATTATGCGAACTTCCTTTGTTGAATTTAGGCGTTATCATATGAGCGTTGTTCCTTCTGATGATCATCTTCCGTGCATTTG